TGTGTGTGTGTGTGTGTGTGTGTATGTTTATTCTATCCAACAATAAAAAATAATAGCAAAGATAATGTATTCAAGATTTGTTTTCATATTTTTTAACTATTTTATTTTTCTTTCTAAATTTCACAGTGCTCATTCAGAAAGCCTCAACTCGCTTAAATAAATGTTGTGTGACATTAATAATGGAGATCAAAAGCTTCAAAATGAGCTCAATTTTTGGTAGATGATACATACAGAAAATAAAAAGCCTTGACTACCATGTTTGAGCTGTTTTTTTAATATTTCTAACAGCCACACAAACACAGAATTATGAACTTAAACATGAGTGTGGTTTGTGTGTGTGTGTGTGTGTGTTGGTGTGTGGACGGGTTTTTCCTACAACGTGGGGAAAATTTCCCAAAAAGACAGCCTCGTGGGGACGGAAGTACATCATGGGGACCAATGCCCGGTCCGCACGGGTCCAAATGCAAATTACAGGTGGAGGATTAGGTTTAGGACCAAGGTTTAGGTTAGTTTTAGGGTTGGGTAAGTACCTGTGAGGTTAATTTTAGGTTAAATTGTCAGGGTTAGGCTGTAAAGTCTAAAAAAATGAATGGAAGTCAATGCACGGTCCCTACGAGGTTGAAGAACAAACATGTGTGTTTTGTGTGAACTGTTGCAGATAAAATGTGCTGCATTTCTTGTAGTCTGTGGCTTCAGAAATGTTTCCACCGGATGGCAGAGAGGATGGCATGGATAAAGTAGAGAAGTGTGGATGCAAAGGCAAAAACCTGGAACACACAAACAAATAAACACAGCATGAGGTGTAAATGTTTTTTGATAATAACAATGTTAAATTCATTTTTGCTGTGAATTTAAAAGATATTTAGTTGTCAGCAAATTTAAGAACTTTTGCAAGAGAGGTTCTTTCAAGTTTTTGATGCTCTTTCGGCCATTATTTTGGATGGATGGATGGAAAGTTTGATGGAAACAAAGGTTTAAAAGAAGTCAAGCATGAAAGGAAATAAACATAGAAATAAGTTAGACATTTTTGACAGTGTGGATTTCAAAACATTTCAAAACAACGAAACATATTAAAGTATTTAGATTTGTAATGTCTGCAGAGAAAAATCAATTCAGGTCTGCTTACTTTGTTTAAATGTAAAATTGAGTCAAATAAAAGTCTTATTAATTAGCTACCCCTCCTTCGTCTGTACAGATTGAAAATATGATATGTAGAGGGGCTGCTGATTCATTCTGAGTGGCTCCTAAATGTTGATGCAAACGAGGAAGAAGCAAAAGATCTGTTTAGTCCATATGAAGAAGTCATCCAGACATCTTTGTTCTTTCTTCACTCGTTGCAATTTGAATAATGAAAAGTATCAAAAAATGCATAAAAACGTTCAAGTCTTTTCAACCAAAAAAGACTGAACTCTTTGGGAAAAGCGAGATTCCTCTGTGAAAACTAAACACTTGCATCGCACCAGGAGGTACTTTTGAAATGTTACGTGACTTGTAGCGTGCTCAATGCTTACCACAGCAGAAATATCAATCTTGTACACTCTCGTATCGTTCTCTTTATTTTGAAACGTGATGTAAGCCAAATCCACCCCTGCACTGAGGTAGAAGAGCACTGCTAGGAAATGGTAAATGAAGTCCTGCAGACACCAAAGAGATTTTACACAAATCAAAGCTCATCACAGGGTTTTCTTTGTTTTATTTCATTTCATTTTTTTTTTTCTCTTACAGCAGCTGCCCAGCCAGAGCTGCTCTTGTGAACCCCAGTGGCAAAAATGATCAGCCAGAGGAAGGTCATGATGAAACAGAAGACGGAGACGAACATCACCCATCCCAAAGGGTTTGGTGGGAACACGTGTGTCGATGCCACCAGAATCCAAACCAGACCTCCAAACACCTGCAAGGACAGACAAGACTGATTTCATCTACTGTATCCACCCGCGTAATTTACACGGGGGATGGGGGGGTTATAA